CTCCAGTCTGGGCGACAGAGTGAGACTCCAACTCAAAAAAAAAAAAAAAAGATACATTACATGGCAATACTTCCGCTGCTAAAATTTAAATAAATATGCTCAAATTATTCCTTTTAGTACAAAAGTCAAAGATCAGGTTATACCTCTGTTGCAGGACTGTGAGGATAAGGATATTTATGGAGGTTCTTATTCCCCTCCTAATGGCACATATTATTACTATGGATAGAAAAGCAAGAAAAGACAAAACTTAAAAAAAAAAATAGTCGCTCACACCTGTAATCCCAACAATTTGGGAGACAAAGTGGGAGGATCACTTGACCCCAGGAGTTCAAGACAAGCCTAGGCAACATAGCAAGACCTTGTCTCTACAAAAACAAAACAAAACAAAAAGCCAGGCATTGTGGCACACACCTGTAGTGTAGTCCAGGGGGTTGAGGCTGCAGTGAGCTGTGATTGTGCCACTGTACTCCAGCCTGGGGAACAGAGTGAGACCAGCTCAAAAAACAAAAAAAGTGCTTCTAGTTTTTAAATGAGTACTATCTGTCAAGGAAATGGAAAAATAAAAAAGAATAAGGACCTCTTATTAGAATCAGGAAAATTCTTTTCCAAGAGGTCCTATCAATAAATATAAAGTTGTCATAACTTCATAACTTAAGGTCCATTTCCTAACTGCTACACATATGCCAAATTTGGCAAATTAGAGGAACAGTTAATAGGATGCCAGTTTTGAAATGACAGTAAACAAACTTCTGCAGAAAGCAATGATTATGCAATGATGGCATATTAGTATTATTTATGGTACGGTCAACCCTCCACATGCGTGGGTTCCACATCCACAGATTCAACCAACTGTGGATCACAAATATAGTTAGGACTATGACGGTTGCATCTGTTGTGAACATGTGCAGGCTTTTTGCATGTGATTATTCCTGAAACAGTACATTGCAACAACTATTTACATAACATTTACAGTGCAGTAGGCATTATAAGCAATCTAAAGATGATTTAAAGTGTATGGGAGGATGTGCATAGGTTATGTGCAAACACTATACCATTCAACATTAGGGACTTCAGCGCCCTTGGATTTTGGTATCTCTGGGAGTCCTGGAACCAATTCCCTGTGGATACTGAGGGATGACTATAATTATTATATTCATTATCAGAACTTATATTTTGACGTGACTTTCTGTCTTTCCTAAGTCAGTTTCCTATGTATTTTACATACACAAAATCACAGACTGTTAACATGGGGTGGGGACACATCTTGACAAAGTTTACAGAAGAGGCAACTGAGGTTCAGAGAGGTTGTAACTTGCCCAAGGTCACACAGCTAAAAAGTAACAAATCTGGGACAAGAATATAATTCCAGGTGGGATTCTCCCCTTCATCATTTAGGTCTTAGAGGAGAGTGAGGATGGGGATGAATGCTCAATTTCTTTATACCTCTCCTGTTGGGGGGTGCTTACAATCATAGCAGGAGGGCTCTGGTCAGGACTCTTCTGAAGAAATCTGTAAAACAAGTACTCATCCCGAAATTCATACTCGTTGGTAATATGCTGGATGACTCCCCCTTGCACCAGCCTGTCTCCGTAGATCACAGCTTCCCCACGGTCGGAGGCAAGGCCAACTTCAATCAGCCAGTTCACCAGGTCGCAGCCACAGAAGGTCCCCGCAGAAGTATTGGCACCACACCTGTATGTCAAAGGAAGGATTCACCCACATGTTCTGTAAATCTGGTATCATCAGCACTGCATGGTAGAGGACAAGCAAGGAAAGACAGAAAGAAGGAAACAAGGAGAGACAGCATGATAGTTACAAGCATGGCAGGAATGAGACTGCTCTGATCATAAAGGGTTTGTTAACACGCCTGACCCCAGAAAGACCCAATGGAGAAAAAGGAAACATGCCAATAATGCTTGTGAAAGCAGGAGTGCTTCAACAATAACAAAAAGGATGATATAGACAAACTATGTAAATTCATTCACAGAGAAATATTTTTTTTTAGCAGCATGGCCTTTTATGAGCAGATCCATCCCACATATAGCTGAATATTACATATTTTATAACTTATACTCTTGGTTATACTGAGCAATTTGTCTCAGGGACATTCAATGTTTTTCACAAGCTCTTGAGAAGTGGTTCTTTTCAGTAAACTACTCAGCATGACTTTCAGCTCCATATCCCTCATATATCCATATGCACTATATACATCACTGTACCCCGAGTAACCTTTCTCCTTGCCCTCAACACCCAAGCCAGTCCTCATGTGCCTGGCAGCAATCTACTTCATTAGGAAGCAAGGGAAGTAGAAGTGAGATCCATCTTCAGACCAATCTACAATTAAAAAATGTACTTTGATTATGAATCTACTTTTTGATTATTTAAAATCTGTCTTCCTATGATGGAATATTACACTGCCATAAAGGACAACATTATGGATTTTGCAGTGGCTTGGATGGATTTAGAGTCTATCATGCTCAGTGATCAATCACAGAGACAAAGAACTGAGTACTACCTGCTCTCACTCATAAGTGGATCCTGAACATTTATCATGATACTGTAAGAAAGGGACTGGCAGTAATGGGACACTGCCAGAGGAGGGACGGAGGGAGGGAGGGGAGAGAATATAACACCAAAGAGGGTACCTGGTCCCAGACCAGGTGGAGTGAGGACCGATGGCAGGCCCAGGCCTCACCTGTGCGATGACCACTTATATACCTAATCCTGAATTGTACCCTACATCTTTAAAATAAAAAATAAATAAAATAAAAATAAATAAAATTATGCTGCCCATCAAAACTGTACTGGATTAAAAAATTTGGTGCACATACATGATAGAATATTACACAGCCATAAAGAAGAACAAAATTATGAACTTCACAGCAACTTGGATGGATTAGAGTTTATAATACTTAGTGATTATCAAGGAAACAAAAAAACTGAGTACCACATTCTCACTCATAAGCAGACTCTGAACATATACCATAAAACTGTAAGAAAAGGATTGGCAGTAGCTGGAAACTGTTGGGGAGGGGGACATAACATTATAAGAACCAGGCAAAGTGGGGACCAAAGGGAGGCCCAAACTTCACCTGTATAATGACCACTTGTATACTGAATCCTGAATTATACCCCATATCTTTAAAATGAAATAAAATACATTTAAAACAAATATGTAAATAAAATAAAAACCTGTCTTCCTCAGACAAATGTAGGGTGCCTTAAGCAAATAAACAAGGGAAAGAGAGATTCAGGAAAAAAGAGAAACAATGACATGAATTCTGTACATTTTCATATGAATGTGCAATAGACAACATGTATCTGTCCACAAGCACCATTCAAGCGGTGAAACCTAAACTGCTTGGCAACAGGAAACAGTGGATGAAAATCAAGAGAAAATGAGAAAAAGGCAACAAGAATCTAAGAACATTTCACCATAAGTGAATATACATTAGAGGGTATATAAGAATTAGGGAGGAAAAGGTTAATACACATGCAATTTTTTCTCGAGAACATAAAATCACAATACTGAACATCAGTATTTCATTTAGTGATGTTTATGATATTTAGTGATATTTATGAATGTATGCCTTGCACCTGGAGATGTATGCCTTGCCCCTACAAACATCACTTTCAACAAAAACCTGAATTTACAACCTGCGCCTGAGTCCTTTTCCTGCTCATGGGTTTTTAGTCCTTCTATCCCAGACACCAACTGAACAATACTTGCTTCCTGATGACTGTGATCAGGTAGTTTTAACAACAGCCCGGCTGTGCAGCTTGGCTGTGCAGAGCTGCAGAGAGTGTGCAGGCTGCCGACCCGGGGAAGGTCAGGGAACAGGCCAGCATACTCCTGTCTAGGCAGCGCCCATTCAGCCATCTGAGTTCAGGGCAGTCCTGACAGTTGGCAGTCACCATGGGCCTGGCAGAGCTAACATGGAGTTCTTTTTTGTAATTTTACAAAGCAGTTTTAAGTTGTAGAAACTATCCCTAGATGGTACTTGGAAATAATTGTGACCACCCCCTTAAGGATGGGAAACTAACTTTTCTTCGTAGTTAACTTTCATTCTTTCCTCGCCTAGAAAGAAGGCTAGGCTCGTCACAGACATTCTGTCACCTAATTCTAACAACCCTGAGAGTCAGATATTTTAAAGAAGAGGAAAACTAAAGTTCAGAGAACAGAACTTTTCCAGTGTTACATAGCCAATAAGTGGCAGTTCAGGAATTGAGTTCTAGTGTTAGTCCATACCCTGATATAGATAATCCATTCTCTATACAAGGTTATCCTCTGATTATAATGCCATATATGTTAAATATAATGGCCTAATACATGCACATAAATCATCCTCAATAGTAATTTTTGGCCAGGCGTGGTGGCTCATACCTGTAATCCTAGCACTTTGGGAGGCTGAAGTGAGAGGACTGCTTGAGGCCAGGAGTTTGAGATCAGCATGGGTACTATAATGAGACCACATAACTACAAAAATTAAAAAAATTAGCTGAGCAAGGTTGCATGCCCCTATAGTTTCAGCTACTTGGGAGACTGAGGTGGAAGGATCACCTGAGCCCAGGAGGTCGAGGCTGTGATGAGCTGTGATTGTACCACTGCACTGTAGCCTGCGTGAGGGAGTTAGGCCTTGCCTCAAAAAAACAAAACAAAACAAAACATTTTCAAACTTTCAGTTGTAGACATATTTATATTTTGTTCTCATTTTTATGACAACCCAAAATACTGGCACTATGACATTTCTTTATTCAAAGTTCATCATTTCCTGCTATATACTTCATAACTTGGGGATTAGAAGAATAAATATCATGTCAAAGTCTGTAAGATTAGGACTTGAGGTGAAATATAAACAGCAAAATTAATTCAGAGGAAGAAATTTCATTTTATTTTCTTGACAACAGCATTAGTAATATGAAATAACTTATCACCAGGAGATGGGAATATAACACCACTTCTAAAATCCAATATATCTCAAAGTTTTGTGAGACACAAATAACCAACTTGAAGTGAATGTTAATATTCTATGATACTTTGGCTCATTCTAAAGTGTTCATGTTCTATATGAAAATCAAAATTTGTATGACTTTTAAAAAATATTAAAGTCAAAGTGATGTGGCCCTTTTATATGCCAATTCTTAAACTATATACTGACCTATAACTCTTTTAACTTTGACATGTATATGTGTTATTGAAAATAATCATGTAGTTGGTCATGGCCACATTACTTAGCCTATTACATCCCAAAATTAATCATCTAAAATATAATTACCTGTGGTTGTTGATGTGGTTGTATCTAAATCTGTCATCTTGCTTTTATTATTTGTTCCATCTGTTCCTTTCCCTTCTTTCTTTTTTTCTGTTTCATTTTGAATTTTTTAAATTAACGATTCTCTTTAATCTCATTGTTAGCTCATGAGCTATATATCCTTATTGTGTTTTTAGTGGTTGCTTTAGGGTCTTTTTTTTTTTTGAGTTGGAGTCTCACTCTGTCACCCAGACTGGAGTGCAGTAGCTGCTCCCGGCCACTGCAGCCTCCACCTTCTGGGCTCTGGCGATCCTTCCACCTCAGCCTTCCAAGTAGCTGGAACTACAGGTGCGCGCTACCACACCCGGCTAATTTTTGATTTATTGTAGAGAAGAAGTCTTGATAAGTTGCTCAGGCAGGTCTCGAACCCGCAGGCTCAGGCAATCCACTCACCTCAGCCTCCCAAAGTGCTGGGATTACAGGCTGAGCCACCGAGCCCAGCTGCTTTAGGGTTTGTAGTACACAACTTTTACCTATCACAGTCTGCCTTAAAGTGAATTGTACCACTTATATAAAAGTATAAACTCTCACAAAAAATATATATATTTAATATATACATAATCAACTAGAATCTGTACCAGCAATTTGCTTACCTTCTTTCCTTGACAATGTTTCGGATACAGAGGTCACGGTGATAATGGATAAATTGTTGACAGGTCATTTTTATTTCCTCAGAAACAGGAGAATCCCTGTTTTCTGCTGTTTCTTTATTATTCCATAGGAATTCAAGTCTGAAAACCAAGAGTTAAGGAAGCCATTTTTAAAGAGAGAAGAGCACTGAGAGGGAATCTTTTCTGCCTTATCACCCCAACAAAATGGTTGCTCCAAAACTGTCTACAACGGCGGCCCCCAAACCCCAGGCCACGTGGCCTGTTAGGAACTGGGGCACTCAGCAGAAAGTGAGCAGCAGGCAAGCGAGTGAAGCTTCACCTGTATTTACAGCCTGTTCCCATTGTTGGTATTACCAGAACTCTGTCATCTGTCAGATCAGGGGCGACATTAAATTCTCATAGGAGCCCAAATCCTATTGTGAACTGCACAGGCAAGGGATCCAGGTTGTGCCTCCTTATGAGAATCTAGAGCCTGATGATCTAATGTGGAGCTGAGGTACTGATACTAGTGCTGGGGAGTAGCTGCAAATGCAGATGAACATTAGCAGGGAGGTTTGACTGCAAAGAGACCATAATAAATCAATTACTTGCAGACTCATATCAAAGCCCTATCCGTGAGTAGCAAGTGAGTAAATGTACTTCAATTGTACAGCTGCATCTGGTGACAGGCTTTAGGTCAGAATTCGACACTTATTTTAGTCTGCATGTGGCCTGCCCATTACTTTATTTACCACTTCTGTCTGTGCCTCTTTTTTTAATGGTTAGTTGTATAATGATTTCAATGTATATTACAATGTAATAATAATGGAAATAAAGTGTATAATAAATGTTATGTACTTGAATCATCCCGAAACTGTCCCCCACACCCAATCCATGGAAAAATTGTCTTCCACCAAACTGGTCCCTGATGTTAAAAAGGTTGGGGACTGCTGATCGGCAATACCCGGACATTACTCATCTCTGAAGCAGAAATGTACTTATTCTGCACTCAATTTCCTATTCAAAGTAGGCTGGGATGGGGGACTTAATCATTTTATAAACCCCTCTGGACATGCTTGACCCATTTCAATTTCTACCAATAAGAATAAGTGTTCCTTATTTTATATTCTACTGTTTTGAAATGCAACAATAAATTAGAGATGAAGTATTTTTATGTAATCATTTTTCTATCTCAGTACCACAGAGACAGACAACAGGGTCTGGAGTACAGAACAACTCTGTTTCTGCCAGCCCAGATGATCAACATGATGAAACTGATAACTACGTTCCATGACGTTCCTATTTTGCTCTCTTCCTTCATGAGAGGATTCTAACCATGAGAGCAACTACATCTTAAGAAGAAGAAGAGGAGGAAGAGGAAGAGGTAGGAGGAGGAAGAGGAGGAGGAGGAAGAGAAGGAGAAGGAGGAGAAGGAGGAAGAGAAGGAAGAGAAGTGACCGTTTACTGGGTGCTTTTCACAGAGCTGGTAGGGTAAATTCCATGAGCACTTCTAGTCTCTACTAATTTTGACTCTGAAAACAAATGAGCAAGTATAAAGATTTGCCCCTGCCTCTTCCTCCCACTCCCAAGTTGGAGCATTCCCACTTGTTATTTTTCATAAAGAATTCCTGATCTTAATTCAAAGAGGCCCTTCACTTAGCTAATATCAGGCCAAAAATCTAGAAAGAAAAATTGAGTTTTCTATAAGTTGTCAGTTTAATAGAAAGAGAAATTGTGTTGCCAAAGGAAAAAGACAATCAAATATAGACCTTGGGGGCATACCACCTGCTATTTCCATTTCTAAAGACATTTTCAAGTTTCATTTAACTTTATGTAGTTAATGGCATAGACAGAAATCAGTGTCCATCAATTCTTGTTAAAATGCAAATTACAATGCTGGATCTATAATAGTTCTTCCGATATTTTTTTTCTGCAATCATTTACAACAAATATGTGAATCAACAGATAACCTCTGTGGCATTTAGTGGTCTCCCAGCAGTTACTAAAGATTTACAAATCTCAGTGCCTTAACAGAGTGTTTTTGTCATCACATTTACGGATACAAATTTATTTCAAAACTAAATTTACCTTCTTTTGAAAGGCAGGATGATTAAATGTTTATCTAATCCAAAGATTCCAAAAGAAATAAATCCCTGGGGGAGAGGAGGGAAAAGCAAAGTTATTTTTTTCTGAATAAAATAAAATATTAAGACAGAGAAATTAAGGATGCCACCAAATTTCGTGTTTGAGGAAGCGAACCTATAGTGAGAGGAGCAACACTGGAAATAGAGCAGACAAAGTAGGACCTCCAAATTCAGTGCCTGGAGGCAGACATGATACTTTGCTCCCTTTTCCCAACCATTGTGTCCCCGATAAGATGGGTGATACGAGACTGGGCTGAGTAGCCACATTTGTCTGATAGCTTACCGAAGAAAAATGAAAACATTGAAAGGCTAGATGTCTTTGTTTCCCCCTTTTTATTTATTTTTCCCTTTTAAAATTCAATTCATTCTTTTATATTTTGGGGACTCGTTATGTTGCCCGGGCTGGTCTTGAACTCCTGGCCCCAAGTAGTCTTCTCACCTTAGCTTCCCAAAGTGCTGGGATTACAATATTTCCTACTGTGCTTTTTTTTTTCTGTTAAAATTTCACACATTATATAATTAACAAGTGTTGTAGTATCTAAGTATAATGCAGTAATTGAACAGAATATATGTAAAGTGAAACTGACTAGTGGTTAGGGGAAGGATCTGGGGGTCATGAGGCAAAATGGTACCAGACATCAGCCACAGATCAGGATGATTTAGGACTGTTTGGGGAGACAGGTTGGGAGCTGCCACTTGCAGCACACTAGGTGCCAGTCAGGGAGGTAGAATGGAGAAATAAAGTACATGAAGGACCTAAAATTCTTCACCCCCAAACAATAAACAGTCAGTGGGAATGATCTTACTGCAACACCTCCTCAAGAGGAAAGCAGGATGGGAGGGGGTTTTGTGTTTCTCTCGCTCATTTCAACCACTTCAGCCATAAGCTGTGTGGGAAGCATTTTACATGCCATTCCTGGCCTTAGCCTCTGCCCAATCCTGGAAGGCTCAGATTGGAGTGGAATTTCTGAATGCCAAATGCCAACTGTGACTATGATATTTCACCTTAATATTTTATCGTTGTTGGCTACGAAATCAGATCTTCAACAGGATCACAGAGTGAGATGGGTATCAAGTAGCTCTTGGGGCACTCATGTCTGTTTGTGATAAACTGATTAAGGTCACCTGTCTCTTTGTTCCCACCGTAATGGCCACACTAACTGGAAATAGCTCAAGGACTTAATGTTAGGAAAAAATTTGCAGGGGCATCTCTTGAGAAATGTTAAGTAACCCATATGGCAAATTATTTTAGACAGGCAATTATTTTAGATGGATTTAATAGGCAAACTCAGTGGTTTCATATGCTATTTTTTGACCAGATAATCCACAGACTAATATTCTCCAACTAAAAAGTAAGGAGTTAAAATATCAAATATTGAAATTTACACATAAAAATATTTTCCCAGTATGTAAAATGTCATTTAGTCTTAAATATCCATTTTAATAGTGATAGAAACATAGACAATAGCACCCATCATATTATTTCTTCTTGGAATTGTAATTTCCTAATTTCTACACTGAGGGTGCCAATATCAACTTTGCAGCTATTGTCATGATGTTTACATGAGATAATGAATGTAAAATACTTAACAATAGTTGGCTCAAGGAATGGTAACTACTGTCCCTAGCCAACATTTATCTATACACCACATGATTTTTTTTTTTAAGATTTAAGTATCAACCAGGTGCAGTGGCTCACGCCTATAATCCCAGCATGTTGGGAGGCCTATGTAAGAGGATTGCCTGAGTCCATGGGTTCGAGACCAGCCTGGGCAACATGGTGAGACCCCATCTCTAAAATAAATTTTTAAAAGTAGCCATGTGTGGTGCATGCCTGTAGTTCCAGTTACTTGGAAGGCTGAGGTCGAAGGATCACCTGAGCCCAGCAGGTCGAGGCTACGGGTGGCCATGAGTGTGCCACTGCACTCCAGTCTGGGCAGCAGAATAAGACTCCAACACACACACACACACACACACACACACACACACACACACACACACACACACACTTTTAAAAAAAGATTTAAGTATCTGTTGTTTTTAAGAAACATCAAAATGTAAATGAAATGATGGTTATCAATTAAAGCAGCTAAATTAAAGGCTCAGAGAGGGCTAAGTTATTTTCCCAAAGTGACTTATTCGGATCACAATACAGTTTAAAAACGACTTAGGACATCTTGTCCCTGCTTCAGTTATCATTCTTTACCTCAAAACCAAAGCAGAGACTGATTTGTTATTTCTGATGGAAGCACTCAGTGTACATTCTGATGACTTCAACCAATATGAGAATTTGTCTGCACGAGGAGACAGGCAGCAGCTGTCAGCTGTCATACATACAAGCAGCTGGCAAGCAAGCTAAACCCTTTTGATTTAAACAACATCCGACACCCCTCCAATCAACCCACCCAGAAAAACAAACACCCCTCTAAGTTCTCAGTAAATAAATACCTGGCCAAAGTTAAACACAGCACAGAAAAACTGTAACTCAACATACAGTCTTCCAGGCTCTTGGTTGAATAGCCACCATAAACAACTGGAAAGGTTCTGGAAAGAAAAGAAAACAGAGTACTTTAAAATGGAATAAGCTAATCATTTCTCTCCATCCAGAGCACAGTACAGTAACTCACTCACCTACTTAATGATTAGAGGGAAAAAAGACGAAAGGGAAAAACACCGAGAGAATACAGAGGCTTTGTCTTTTTAACAAGAGGTTTCACCCTCTCCTCCTGACAGATGTCATTCAAACAGCATCTATTCTGATCAGACTTGAAGCAAGAAGACATGAGCCCTAATACAGAAGCTTACATAACACATCAGGACTGCCGACTTGCCCAAGACAGGACTGATTTTAAAATGAGTTCTACATAATGAAAACAATTACATCACCAAGCAGCAATTCTTGGCAGCATTTCCTATTTTTTTAATTTTTGTTCTTCAACAGCACTTAAAGTGATGCTGGCTGATACCAACACTATGTAATGAGCATCCCAGTGTGCAAGGGTTTATTTATAGGTTATATGGTCCATCTTCCACCTTGGACAAGTTACACTTGCAGCATCTCAAAGAATTACATAATCACAACTTGATAATTCACAGAGAGGACATTTAGTAATCAAAGAAATACACGTTTTTGTTGTTGCTGTTGTTATTTTTGATCTGGAGTCTCAATCTGCCACCCAGGCAGGAGAGCAGTGGCAAGCTCACGGCCACCCCAGTGTCGACCTGCTGGGCTCCAGTGATCCTTTGGCCTCAGTCTTCCAAGTAGCTGGAACCACAGGCACATGCTACCATGTCCGGCTAATTTTGTATCTGTTGTAGAGATGAGGTCTCGCCAAGTTGCCCAGGCTGGTCTTGAACCTGTGGGCTCACGCAATCCACTCGCCTCAGCCTCCCCAAATACTGGGATTACAGGCTGAGCCACCGAGCTCTGCCAAAATACACGTTTTTGTTTTTGATTTAAAATACAGGACTGTTTATCACTTGTTTATTATCATATTGAGAAATCTATGGCATATATCCCGGAACAGTTACTCTGCAGATCTGCACCATCTTTTTAATTTGCCTACATGTACCCCATCCCCTGAAATATGGATATAATAATATGGTACATGCTTCCAACTAACAACAAGAACTAAACAAAATGACCTAGAAAAGTAAAAACAAAAAATATTTTTGTTCTCCTATTG